ATGTATACATTAATAAAAATTATACATTAATTATTGTATATATTAATTAAAAATGATAATGAATAATGAAAAAGATTTATTTAACAAAAGCAAAAAGCTGTCACGGCAGAAAAAAAAAACTTAAAAGCTTGAGAGAAAAACACTGGCAACACAAAACAGATCGGATCATTAAGGTTGGGGACCAAAGCACTGCAAGAACAGTAAGAGCTAGATAGTTGAGCTGATTGGRGACTGGCAACAGGTGATCGTCAGACTGACTGGAGAACAGAGATTAGAGAACCTGACTCAAGGTGAAATAAGAAATGACACAGGGAACACAGAGGAGCAAAACAGGAAATAAACAAATAAAACACAATTATCTATTATAGATCTATTATAGATCTAAAACACAAAGAACCATAAAATACCCAAAATACAGGATCACTCCTGGATTTTTTTCAGTGCCACCCCATATGAAAAAATAACTTCTGCAGGTGCCATTGTGTGCTGTAGTTTAATTACTAAAGACAAAGCTTTTGATACTGGCTTCCAAAATTAGAAAAGTGAGACTGAAATAAGTATTTTTGTTACCTTACCTGGATCAAAACTGGGTGTAGTCCACCTAAAAGCAATGTAAGCAACACAAAAGCTCACTATTAATATTTTTGCAAATGGTCCCATTTTATGTAAACCTGCTGTAACTTTTAGGCAACTTTGCTGAGTTCTATGTTTCCTACAACTTTCACAATTTGAGAGGTGCAATTTATACAAGACGTATCTCTCTCTCTCTCTCTCTCTCTCTCTCTCTCTCTCTCTCTCTCTCTCTCTCTCTCAATTGGGTGTGCATTCATATTGGAGTTGTATTGGACACTCCTCCTTTCTGGATGAAATATATAGCGTAATAAAATATTCACAATTAAAACACCAGCCACGACTCACAAAATGAGCCGTCAAGTTTTGTATGTAATTGCAATTAATACAAGCAAAGAAAAGCRGTGAGAATGATGCGAACGAATCTGCTGTTCTGAAATAACGCTAGACTTTCAACGTGAAACTTTATTGACAAAAAACACACAAACACAGGAACAAGCTGAGYAAAGACTTGTCCTTCAGTGTAGCTAACAGTGCTCTGGACTTGATGTTGGGAGTGTTTGTTAAAAAGTTCTCGTAAAGGRGGATCATACAGCTGTGGACCATGGCGGCAAGGATTCTGCCCTTACTAAAGTTAGTATTTTTTTTTCCCACTACCTACTTTATTTGAAATCGTAATGCTTGAAATGCTAAAACACGATTAGCCTGCGAGCTAATGCTAATGCTGTCAGGAGTTTCTCATTTACCAATTTCAGAAATTTTGCTGATTTGGCCTTTAATATTTCACAATTAGTACCCATTTGCTTGGCATATGTATTCTCTACATTTGGACTTTGGAGCTGATGCGCTGACTTTGTCAACGTAGAATKTAAAATGACTGTTTTTACAGTGAAATTGGGCGAATAAGTGGTGTACAGTAATTKTGGTGTCTATGCTTTTTTCATTGAATGTTTTATTAGTCCACTGCTGAGTGCTTCTGTCTAACAACGGGGCTGGTTCTGGTCTTATCATTTGCAGACTAGCCACCAAGGTGACCATTGCAGGAGGAGCTGTTTATGTCGCCTGTGACTCAGGACTGCTGGGAAGCAGTGAACAAGGCGCACAGGCCCTGGAGAAGGCTAAAGCAGCTGTACCACCCGCTTTAGCGGAATGGATGAAGTATTTTGGTCTGGAGGTAGAGATTATAATACATAATAATAATACATTTATTCGTATAGCACCTTTCAAAATCCAGTTACAAAGTGCTTTACATCATATAATAAAATCAAAACACATAAAAAAACAAAGTAAGTAATTCTGAAATATAAGACGGTGCAAGTCCATTCAATGATTTAAAAACTATCAAGGAAACCTACTGTCAGCTTTTACAACAAAATTTTCATTCATTTAAACTAGAAGCAAAATTCCATGAAGAAACTCTCTTTTTGCACAGCTGTGTTGTGTTTTTTAGTTTTGTCAAGAAAAGTAAAATGTTGTGATCTCAGGGTAACATCAGTTATCTGTAACAAGTTGTCGCTCAAAGATATTTAAAGGACATYCTCAAAGTCTGACAGCCGGGTACTTTGACACGTGACTTTGTAGAAGGAGACACAACACACACAACGAGTGTAAATTACCAATAGTATACACGGCGAATGTCTTATGGTGAGTGTATATACTGTAGTATGCTGTATACACTTGCTGTGACACACACTGTGTATAACGCACTATACACACAACGAATGTAAGTTATATGCGTTTTTAGTAGGGGTGTAAGAAAATATCGATACACTGAAATATCACGATACTGTATCGATATTCTAAAGCCCTGTATCAATTTTTTTTATTAAGGTTTAAAATGTCAACTTTCCTGCCAGCCATTCATTTTTATGTTGTAGTTCAGCCTCTGACCACTAGTTGGCAGCAGTGAGCCAGCCATTTGGCTACTCTACCTCTTGAGGTAGAGGCTATTAAGTGTTGGGTGACCATATTGTAAATTAATATTAAAAAATTGCAAAAAATATATTTTCGAACTATTTTTTTGTCAAATTTAGTCTAATAATTGAAAACATGAATGAAATAAGAAATATGAAACAAATAAAATAAAATACATACAAAGCAGAACACAGCTAAATGTATCAAAAGTATGTCTGTGTAATATTAGAATTTTCTGAGACAATGAATTTTGGTTTTTCTTTTTTTTTTTTTCCAGTAAGAGGTTTTTATTTAATAGAATTTTTGGACAAAAAAATCGAAATATATCGGGATATATCGTATCGTGACCCCTCTGTCATGATATGTATCGTATCGCCAAATTCTTGCCAATACACAGCCCTAGTTTTTAGAATAATTCTGGGGGTAAATTATTGTCATTATGATTCTACACGCAATGTTTATTGTGAGTTTTGAACCAGTTTTGTATTTAATTTTAAACCACTGAATCACAAACTAATTGATCAGCCATGCTCTTTGCTACGACAGAGTATTAGGGCCACACAACGAGATTTTTTTATTATTATTATGAGAATAAAGACATAATTTTATGAGAATAAAGTTGTAATTTTATGAGAATAAAGTTGTAATTTTATAAGAATAAAGTCATAATATTACAAGATTAAAGTTTATAATTTTACGGGAATAAAGTCATAATATTACGAGAAAAAAAGTCATAATCTTACATGACGTGTCCATTTTCCTTTCCTCATTTCCTCCTTATTTTCCCCACACTAAACTACACCCTAAATATAAAATCCAAACACACTAAATATCACAGATCTAATTGCTCAGCTGGGGTAGACATAAGGATTTTTTTCAGGTTTTCCAGCGGACAACCAGGAAGTGGGATCCGGCTGTCCAAATACAAAAATAGGCTGTCTCAGACAACCTAAATAACGCTTATGTTGACCCCACACAGTTTAAAAAYGCCTGTATAGTTTGAAGTCTCGCCATTTGAGAAAGATTGCAACAAAGTCTCAGAGAGSCTGTGTCTTTCCAGCTACAGCGATTTAAGTCTGTCATGTGAATTGACCATGTGACAAACTGTACCGCTGTTGTGCATCAGGTTGTGAGGTCTCCTCATTTTCATACATTCTTAAATATCTGAATAAGTACAGTAGGTGTGATACACTCACAACTTTCCATACTTGCTAACAACCACATATTTGAACTGCATTGTTTTCCTTCACCAAAAACTGGAGGTTAAAAATCACGACAATGACTTCAAGCCGACCGAGTATCCCGTGTCGTGAAACAAAAAGATTTCAGCCTCTGCTTATGTGTTGCTCATTTATTTTCTTTTTCACTGTGTTTAGGCTCAGCTTCCGACCATGCCCAAGGTTGAGTTCTCTCCTGTTAAATCGTGGAATTCTGGTAAGAACTAAATCAGCATTTTCCTTCATTAAAATATACTTTAAAAAAAGAGAAGTTTGAATGGTTTATATTTTTATTATCACTGATACATTCAGTCATACATGTTAGCACTAGATTAGGATAGCATTCAGTTTCTGTTATCATTTGATAGGGATGCACTGATGTGAAAATTTCAGCTGATATTGATATTTAATATAATTTTTTGTTATGGCCCATAACAGATATTTACCAATATTACACAATCACACATTATTTGTATACATATACGCACAAACACATTTGTATCTTTTTTCAGTGCTGTAAAGAAATAACCAGACCGCTGACATGTGTCTCTACTTCAGTTATTCCTGGCTGTGCAGCATCACTAACACTATCATGGTCAAACAAATACCACTCGACCAACCAACACAAAGCTAAAAAGTGGGAAATCAATATTGGACGTTAATATCGGCCCAGTTTTACATATGGGACCGATATCGATATTTTAAAAAAAATGACTAATATCGGCTGATCTTGATGTTAATGACAATATAACGTGCATCTCTATCATTTGACTTTAAGATGAGTATTTTGTAGGTTCARTCTGAAAACAGATTTTTCTTTTTCAATCCAGGAGTCCGGTGGACAATTTCCAACCTGTCCGAAGCTCCAACAAAGGCAGCTGAATATTCAAATCAGGGATTGCAGTATGTAAAGGACCTCATCAAATAAACTCGTAATCTCTGAGAGACCTCACATTATCAGTTTGCCTTTCACTTGAGTAATGACAGTACTTTAAATGTGGCCCCTCTCTTAAGAAGATGGTCAGCATWTAGCAGCTAAAATCCAGTTAGGCGTGCTCTCTGCTGAAAGATGTTTTAATAAAGTGGTKGAAATGGAAGTAGTACACAAAGCAGAGAAGCGCCAGGAGGTTTAAATATCTTGTATATTTTGTGTATACCAATAAATTGTCACTAATTTCCTGTATYGAGTTGAATACCATCCTATGATCAGTCCAAATGTAAGGAGAATGTTGTATATTTGCAATTCCACTATTTGCAGTAAGATCAATCTTAAAACATGTTGTCTTTAGTTTGATTTATTGAGTAAAGTCTCATTTACATGTTTTTTTCAAAGAGAAATAAATATGCAAAACCTTCTTATTACAACAGAATAATCATGACACAAACAGCCATTTAATTCTGCTACAAAATCAAAACAAGAGGCAACTGCAGCACACAGAGCGCAATAGTTTGACTCAACCCACAACAAAAGCGCTGTATTTAGGGATGTATAGTGTTCATGACGTTTTATTTCAATGCAAGAAAACAAAAAAACATTCTAGCACAATTAGTCTCTTACTACAAAATAAAATTTCAAAACCTTCAGGCACTGTTTAGGTGATGGATCTAGTTACAACCCAAAAAGTACAATAGCTTACTGAGAGATACACAAATAATGACTTCAGAGTGAGAAGGCTGGAATCAAACCAGCAACTACAGCACCCAGAATCTGGATGAACTCAGCTGGCCAAGCAAATATTTTTTGTGATTTATTTTTATTTATTCTTTTTTTTTTTTTTTTTTTACCATTTTAAAGATAAGAAATGGCGATTGTTACAACAACTTGGTTTGTTAGCCAACTCAATTCTGGAAACGGTTTAAATTTGAAGTGTTACAYATTTGTTCACAGGAGGCTGAAGTAAATAAATCTGGTTATAAAATGAAAGTAACATATACAAGTTTCACAGAATAAATACTGTCATCTATATGCATCGCAGCATTATATTCTTTAAATTTCCCACCCTCATGCGTGTCATTTAAAGCATATTTCTTCCCGATTTGTTCTCAAGAACATCGAGAGCAAAGTATTAGACTGCACGATAAACTATGTAAACTTTATACAATAAAGTGCTGCCCACAACATCAACAGTGAGATTAATGCAAGCTGTATGTGTTTTACATTTGAGGGACATTTTCAACACACCACTTTAATAAACTGATGGTTGCAGAACTTTCTCTAAACTACCATTGGGAACTGAAGAGCAGCCTTCGGTTGCAGAAATATAAAGCGCAGTTTTAAAGAAATGGTATGTACAGTATTGCCAAGCTRACAAGCCTAAAGGCACTTTCTGATTTGTGTGCATTCAGTTACTCTTAACAACTCACGAGAACACCACAATGCTTTTAAATTATCATCCAGAGCATATTTGAAAGCTTTTTTCGGGATTACAAGAAAAGCCAAATTAGWATAACATTGGAATATTTAGCCAATTATTAATTCACAACTAGGAAACTTGAATATATTAGCATTTGACATTAAAAGGGTCTGATTGAGGTGATTTTCTAGGGCTGTTTCCACCGATCTCTACCAACAATAAATGAAAGCTTTTATTCCACTGCATTACAAGCTTATTAGCTTAAAACCCCCGAAAACAAGTAATTAGAYAACATTCTGTGCTGCTTTTATAGTCAATGGGACTTAAGAGAATCGTTTAACAGACTGATTAATGGCAACAATATATTGCAGTAACAACTGCACGGCCCATAGGAGCACAATATTCAAGTGTCCAATGTAACGTTTTATAAGAAGCAAACACCCAACCCCTTCAAAAAAAAAAGGAAAAAAAAAAGCATAGCAGTGCTACAGTCCYACTGTGCATAAAAACAAAAAGATTTCTAATTTCTGAACAATAAAGCATATCTGTTACTATTCAACCCTGCCTCGGTTTTGAATAACAGAAATGAACAAAGACTATACAAAAAAGTGAATGGGATAAAAGTGTCCACAAGGTCTAGGTGGTTTTGACCAGGTCATAGACATGAATATGAAAGTCATCGTCATATTTGATATAGTACACAGAGGGCTTGGCTGGGACCTGGTAGATGACCAGTCCTGTCCTCTTCACACCCTTGTCGGTAACGTATTCCACTTGTTTCCCCACCAGACTTTCTGTCTCTTCTCCTGGTTTTCTGTCTGCAGGCAACAGGTGCTTGTTTTCTGCAAAGAAAGTGGAGCATGTGTAAATTACTAATAAAACCTSTAACACAAACAACTACATACAATCTTTCGAAAGGTGGTTACAGATCACATGTGCACGTGCAAAAACAGACTGAATCCCTGGTTCACGCAGGCAGATAAYGTGCCGATCTTTGGCCAGATTTTGCCCTTCCAACAAAGGATGCTCCGATTATCATGATTGCTTTAAAGATTATTTTCTGAGATATTCCTGCCATGTGTGACAGAAAGACGTCGGGTCCGCTCCGGCTTCAAATCGGGGATATTCAACATGTTGGATTGTCTTGGCCCGATATCCCAGCGTTTGTGGTGTTCCCCCGAGGACAAACGAGCTCGTCGCCTGTCGAATGTGACGTGTAGCCAATCAGAAAGCGAAGTGGCGGAAACACTGATGGGATTCCAAAGTACACAAGACAAAACAACTGYCATGGASACRTCTTTTTGTTTTGTTTTTTCTTAGGGTGTATTCAGACCAGGAAAGTCTTTTGGTCCAATTGTTTGGTCCGGACCAAAAATGGACCTTTTTTCTCGTTTGGTGTGGTTTGTATTCACATTGTGCTTTTTTGCAATCGAACTATAACTTGTAAACAAAGCCATGAGGCTGAAT